CATCCACCCATCTGTCCATCCATACCTCTGTCCATCCATCCATCCATCCATCCATCCATCCATCCTTCTTCCATCCACCCACCCATTTACCCATGGCTCCATCCATCCATCCATCCATCCATCCATCATCCATCCACCCATCTGTCCATCCACACCTCTGTCCATCCATCCATCCATCCATCCTTCCTCCATCCACCCACCCATTTACCCATGGCTCCATCCATCCATCCACCCATCTGTCCATCCACACCTCTGTCCATCCATCCATCCATCCATCCATCCATCCATCCATCCTTCCTCCATCCACCCAGCCATTTACCTATGGCTATTCACCCATCCGTCCATCCACCCCTCCATTCATCTACCCATCCATCCAGGAACCCATCCATCAACCTCTGAGTGCACTCCTCCAGCAAGTAGATGTTCCAGGAGGGGGGGAGGGTGTACATGAAGCAAAGCTTTCCCCGTGCAGCAGGAAAAGCCCTGGACATGAAATCCTACAGCCTAGGCTCCAAAATCAGCTTTTCCCCTTGAGACCCATGTGGCTTTGGGAAACCCTTTTGCTCTGGACCTTCAGTCCCCAATCTGCACCTGAAAGGTCTGGCTAAGGACTAATCCTCCCTCCTGTCTGGGTGTGGAGGTCACATTGGTCAATGCCCCAGAGAAAACCTGAACCTGAAACGTGGGGCTATGTCATGCCCTGTCTTGGTGCACACTTCCACCCCTCCATCCAGTGGAGGTGAGAGGAAGGACATGCCTGCGTGGCAGCAGCTTTGGGCCGCACCTGTCAGTCTGAGCCCCACTCACCTCACCTAGGGCACAGGGGCTCCTGAACTGCCACGGAAATGGGGTGGTGACGGCATCACCCCAGAGGACAGGGTCCGATGAGCAACATGGGGCTGGGGTAGGGGTCTGAGCCTGATGAGGTGTCCGTGGACACAGGTGGCCCCCCATGCCACCTCCACACCGCCTCCTGCTGCTCCTCCTGCTCCGCTGTCACACCTTCTTTCTGGGGTCCTGGCATCTGCAGGTCCTGCTCGGATGGCCCCAGGGCATTCGTGGAAGGGGCCACCCTGCTGGCCTGTTGCTTCCCTCTCAAGACGAGGCTTTCTGTTGGTGAGGGCTTCGGGCAGGCACTGCCACTCGGAAGAGTTTCCATCAGAGAGAGGCCGGGCCCTGAGCTTCTGGCAAGTCTGTGTCGCTTCATTCGCAACCTGAACCTTCCGCTCCGGAAGGCCCCGGAAGGACCAAGCCTGGTGGAGAGGCCCCAGGTGAGGGCCTGGCTGCCCTCGGTGTACCACAAGGTGGCAGGGGCCGTGGGCCAGGCCGGGAGCACCGAGCTGCTGTTCTCTTGCCTCTGCTCCCATCTTGCAGATGAGACCTTGCCACGGCCCCTGTCTTCTCCTGGTGTGGCACTGACCAGCTCCCACGTGTGTGACCCACCCATAGGCACCCTGACTTCAAGTCTGACGGCCACTGACGGAGAAAAGAGGAAGCCGACACAGCTTTGGCTTCCCGGACACCTGGGGAACGAGAGCCCAGGGAACCACCCGCCCACCTCTCCCGGGAGCCCTCTGCCCTGCTCCTGCCCGCCACGGCCCCCACACAGGGGTCACGTCCAGCCTGCGTGTGGCATCCTGAGCTTGCCCGGGCAGCTCCTCCTTTGGCCTCCGAGCACAGCGTCCTTTCCACCGAGACGATCCCACTTGGCCTTCAGGATGGAGCGTGTACTCTCGCAGGAAGCCGTCCCTGGTCCGTTAGCCTGGGGTCCCCCTGTCGCCAGGCTGGACCATCCGCGCCACCCCACCCCACCCTTAGGATGCCCACTGGTGGAGAGGCGGGCTCCATGGGGTCCATCTGTGTGTCAGAGCCCAGCGTGGAGCAGAGGGCCAGTGTGTAAGTGACGAGTGAATGGGCGCTGGCTCCCGAGCCCTCCCTCCTGGCCGGACCAAGGCCTAAGCCCGCCTGGCCTGATCAGGTGCTCACGTGGTCGCCGCGGGTCAGCACAGAGGCCCAGTGGTCCGTCCCCAAGGCCGCTCTAAGCCCCGTCGCAAGCGAACAAAGGTCTGATATTTGCTCTCTCTCCCTCTGAGCCACCCAACTGGTCCCAAGCCAAGCTCCACTGGCTCCAAGAAGGGAGGGTCCCTCCCAGCTTCCAGCCCGGGGCCAGGCCAAAGGCAGACCCGAAACACACAGGCACCTAGACTGCAGGTGCAGGAACAGGAGGGTCGGAGGAGCCCTCTCCATGGCCGGTTCCCTCTGGGAAGGAGGCAGACACTGCCCGACACACGTCGCCCTTCTGGGGAGAAGAGACCACAGAGCTTTCCATAGGGCACCTCGGTGAGTGTGCTCCTGGGAAACCATGGGTGGGCACCCACACAGTGAGACCTCCCGGGCGGGCGCCGCTCGCACTCTCGACCAATTCCCTCCCTGCAGCTTCCACAGAGCTAGCTGGCAAAGGCCCTGGCCGCCTGCCTTCGCGGGGGTGCAGACGGCGGGCGACCGTGCACAGCGTCCTGGGTGCAGACCCCGCCGTCCTGCCTCTCCCCTCCCGGACATCAGTCCACCTCGGCTGGGAAAAGACCCTGTGGGCATGCCCCTCCCACATACAGGGCAGGGCCTGGGCCTCCCAGGGAGACAGGGGACGGAGGGGGCCACGGGCCAGCCGGGCCGTCCCCTCAAACTGACTTACTTGGTGCCGGCTGGCTCCAGCCAGGAGCTCGCTGGCCGCCTCTGTGTGCGAGGACGCAGCCTCAAGGCTGGCTTCAATACTATCTGCAAATCAAGACAACAGAAGCAATTACAGAGTGGAGACCCTGAAGGTGTGACGAGGGCCAGCCCAGGGAGCCCAGGCCCAGGGGCTTGGAGCGGGGCCTGCCCTCCTGCGGCCACTAAGGCCCCGTCCTGGCTTCACCAGAGGCCAGGTGAGGAGTCCAGACTCCAGAGAAGCGGAGGCTGCAAGGCGCTGGGCCACCTGGCTGGGGCAGGCGCTGGTCGCCAGAGCCGTCAGAAGGTGCCCTCGGGGCAGGGGCCACCCACTCGGGAAAGGTGGAGGCCAGCCTGGAAAGAGGCCCCGCCCTGCTACTTTTCTGCACCCTTGGGCCGTCCTCCAACTCCTGACCATGGCCCCTGCTTCTAAGAAGGGGCCAGAGCCGCCGTGAGGATGACCGTGACCGGGTCCATGAATGCAGGTGCAGGGGGCCGGGCAGCGGCACGTGCTGGCCTCTGGCCACTTCAGCGTGGGGCTCCGGGCACGGGCCTGGTGGGGGTGTCCACACAGCCCCTGACACGTCACACCGGCAGCAACAGCTAAGCCACCGTCCCGAGGCCCAGAGCAGCCCCAGGAAACCAGAAAATTCCACTCAGCAACTGGCGGGAAAGAGGCGGCATCACGAAAACGTGTGCCGAATTCGTAACCAGACCCATTCGGGACACGCAGCCAGGCCACAGGGACGTGCGGAGCAACGGTGAGCTGAGACAAGGACGTTCGCCCACGCTGGGAACTGCGTTGGAGTCCCGGTGAGGGATGCGGCTGCACTGTTTCCTCTCCTACCACCAGGGATCCTGGTGGCGCCGGACAGAGGGAGCGGGCGAGCACAGCAAGAGGCGCTCTCTCCACAGACCGGCTGCACGCCCGGAGTCCCCTCTTCCAGGAAAAGGAGACAGGTCTCCGGACTCCTGAACTTTGGTTAGGACTTCGGAGGCAGAAACAGGTAAGTTCAAGTGGCACCTCTCCCCCAGGGCACCCCGGGCACCACCTGAGCCGAGCGACGCGGGAGGCCCGAGGCCGGGGACAGAGAAGGTACAGATGGACACAAGTGCCTCTGGGGCACAGCGCCCTCTGCCCAGGGTCGCTCTGCGGGGGTGTCCTCCTCGGGGCTCCTTCCCCTCAGACTAAGCACAGCCACTCCACGCGGAGCCCCACTGGAAGGAGAGGAAGGAGAGCTTGGCCCCTCCTTGCGCCGGGTCACCCCTGCTTCTCCCACAAGTGCAGCGCCCACCCCCCAGCGTCCATCCAGGCCCCCGCCCCTGCCACGGCCCAGCTCCTATGCCAAGAAGCCACCTTGCACCCCCAGGCCATGGGCGGCAGCAGCCCCACCTGGCTCCCGCTGAGGAAAGAGGCGGGTGCACGGAGCAGGAACAGCTGCCACCACGCGCAGGAAGACAGCAGGGCCACAGCCGTGCCGGGCGCTGGGGGCCGCACTCCTAGCTGATCTCTCCCGTACCCAGCAACCACACGGAGCCTGGGCTGCCCCAGGACCCTGCGCTCAAGCTCCGACAAAGCCCAGGTCTGATGTGCACCCAGCAAGGCCCTGGGGACACCGAGAGCCCAACTCTGATGGTACAATACTGCCCGGATTCACAAGTGGTCCCCACAGCTGAAGCCCAGCTCGGACCAGGAACGGGCACACTCAGCACTCAGCCAGCAGAGCCCTCCCCAGATCACAGTTCTGCCCCTGGCCACCCGCTCACAGCCAGCTCCCTCGTCCTGAGCCCCAGGGGCAGCCAGGCAGGCATGGGGCACCCTAGTGCTCCACTGGCCGTGAAGCACACGGCCTCTGCCTCACCCTGAAGATCCCAGGTGGGTCAAGGGCAAATTGCAGGAGCCCTGAGCTGACCCCCAGGCCCCCTGCAGGACTGCTCAGTGGGAGCTGCCTTGCAGGGCTCTGCTGCGGAGAGCTACAGGGCATCTGGGCACCGGGCCAGGCCTCCAGGGCCCAAACAGACCCCCCATTAGCACTGCTCCCCCAAACACTGACAGAAATCAGGGGGATGCACCCCAAGGTGCAGCAGATAGCACCCCGTGGAGGCCCCACAACACTGTCAGCTGGCTGTCCTCACCCCTGTGGCCTTGACGGGGCCCCTGCAAGCCTGACCCTGCCCCAGCCCCTGGGCCAATGCTGACCCAGATGGAGGAACTGGTGGGACCTTCAGCAGCAGTCTCTGCACAACCCCCACCCCCACCCCACCCCCCCACCCCCCCGATCAGGCTTTGCAGCCACCTCCCTGCCCCATAGCTCAGCCCTGCCAGGGAGGCCAGCCCCATGCATTCCCATTCGGTGACAATCAGCACTGTCCCAGGAGGGACACTCCCAGGAGGAGCCCAGAGCGCTAAGAGACCAGTCAGTCAGCTGTCCCCATGGGGCTGCAGGGTCTAGGGAAGGGGGCGCCTGACTCAGCAGGGCAGACAGAGTTGTCTGGGCTGGACTGGGCCCCACCATCAGCCAGCACAGGGGACCTTCAGGAGCAACACAGCCACCAAGTTCCTGCCCTGCTCCAGGGCTGGGGACTCGGGGGGTGGGTCCGGGCACACCAGTGCCACCTCTGCCAGCACCCCCTCCAGTGGGCACACCCTGGACCCCAAAACCGGGTCTTGCTCTGCCTGTAAGGAGAGTGGGGCACCCCCCAGGATGACAGGCTGGTCGCGATCAAGGCCAGCCCCCAGGGACGGCAGCAGGTCCACACACGTCTCCCAGCGGGTCCACCAGCAGCTCCGAAGCAGCCATCCATCATCAGGGGCTCGTGGCCCTGTCTCTGCAGGGCTGAGTCCTGCGGTCCACTCCGCGGCCTTCAAGAGGGAGCCGTCCTGCTCCAGGCTTCATCCCCACCATGCTTCCAGCAGCGGCCCGAGAAGTGCAGGGTTCGTCTTGGCCGTGAGGAGGGGCGCAGCCCCCGAGCAGACTGACCAGGACGTGCAGAGGTGTCTTGAGGAGGAGGAACAGCAGGAGGGAGCACTGAAGGAGGCGGCACAGGAGTCCGAGGCGGCACCACTCTGGAGGCCAGAGGAGGCTGGGTGCGGCAGAAGAGCCCATCGAGCACCCTATGCTTGCCTCACCAGGCACAGAAACTTCCAGCAAAGGGGGGCCCTGTGGGCGGGCGCGCGGGCTCAGGGTGGGGCATCAGTGTACCTTGGGAAGCTGAGAGCCACCGGAGACCGGCCTGGCCTGGTCTGGGGCCTGAGGGGCCCTGGGGAGAAGAGCCCCCACAAAGAGAGCACAGGAAGGGGTCAGAGGTCAGGAGCGGTCTCCCCTGCCCCACACCAGGAGAGTGGCACTGAGTGGGGGCAGGGAGAGGAGCGCGGCCCCTCGTCGTCTCCTCCCTGAGCCTCCAGAGGCACCTGGCTGTGCTGTGTCACGGTGGGGGCACCCCCAGAAGGGTCCCAGCTTGGGGCCAGGATGAGCCTGACTCTGAGCCCCAGCTCCTTTGCTCCCCATGTGGGCCGGCCTCTCCCCGACCCGAGGCTCAGTTTCCCATCTGGAAGCAGAAAGGCCCCACGTGGGTGGTGGCCACGCCCACAGGCCCGCAGCCCTCCCCTGAGCGTCCTACTCCCCAGAAGCCCGGGCACGGGGGGGGGGGGGGGGGGGCACTTACTTGGCAGGGGCTCGGCAGCCTGGCCCTCGCCTAGGGGGGCTGGGGCCGAGAAGGTCTCGGCCACCATGCGCTCGACGGGGGTGAGGACGAGGCCGGGGGCCCGTGGGCGCTCCGCCAGCTTCTTGCGCACCGCCCCTCGCAGGTCCCTCCACTTGTGCTTGAGGTCGCCCAGGTCCCTCCGGCAGTAGCCCAGAGCGTTCACGGCCTGCAGGATCTTGCTCCACACTCGGTGCTTCCGGGAGGGCGTGCCCCGCAGCGCCCCGAACAGCAGCGGGTAGTGGCGGGCCACCCTCTGCACCAGCACCTCCGTCTCCTGGGGGCTGAAGTTGGGCTTGCGCGTCTTGGTGCGGGAGTGAGGGCCCGGCCGCAGGGGCGCCACGGCTGGCTCGGGGCTGGAGCTCTGCCGGCACGTGGCCCTGCCGCTGCTGGACCCTGGAAAGGCACCAGAGGCTGGAGGAGCAGGCGGGCCGGGAACAGCAGAGCGCCGCCCGGCTCACAACCCCAGGCGTGCCCTGTGTCCACAGGAGCGCACACGGGCCCCTGCCCGTCATCCACCGTGGTGGGATCACCCACGTCAGCACGCGGCGGGATGCCGAAGTCCCAGCTACTCCGGTCCCCAGGCCCGGACCGCAGTTGCCACAGGTCAGCCCTTGCCCATCCCTCTCCCCTTCCCCGCCTGGAGACGGCCCCTCCCGATCAGCCCGTCACGGGGACTGAGTGACCATCTGGGTGACATGTGGGTATCCATCTGGAGCGGACACGCGCTCTGCATGCCCAGAGACAGCCAGCCAGAGGTGGAACCGGCTCCAGCAGCTGTGCTGAGGCCAGTGGGGGCGAGGGGTGGGGGACGTGGGCCCAGGCACGGGCCTGGGGAGAGAGCGCCTCGAGGGCACGCTGGGGCCGCCCGCTGTCCAGCTGTCGAGCAAACCCCTGCCTGCAGCCCAGGCTCTGAGAAGGAGGGAAGGGGAAGCCTGCCGGACAGCAGCCCCAGGAGGGAGGCGGCCCCACCCTCCCCTGGGGGTGCAGCGTGGCCGGGGGGACGGCCGGGCTGGATGCCAGAACCTCAGAACGGGGGTGCAGAGGCTGGCGGGGGGCTGCCTGTGCCGGCCAGTGGCTCTGGCCTACCCCACACACTCAGGGTGCCCAGGCACGCGAACAGTAGGAGGGCCCACGTAGCCACGTGGGGTGCAGAGGCCAGGCTGAGGGGGGCTGAGGTCCTCATGTGGAGGGAACACAGAAACAGCAGGGACATCAGCCTGCTCTCGGCACGGCCCTGCCCCCACCGCACCCATTTCCCAAGAAGCGGCCCCTCCAAGGTGACTCTGGGCGCCACACGTCCGGTGCTCTCTGCCAAGGCACCTGCTGCAGTCTCAACCCCTCCCCCACCCAAGGACAGTTTGTCCTCGCCCCGGGGGGGTGGGGGGGGGCCCCTGGGTGGGAGAAAGGCCCGGGCTCTTCAATGAGCAGAATGGACGGGCCACCCTCTCGCACGAGGCTCCCTGACCCTAGCCTTCCTGAGGGGCTGGGGAGACCTGGGGACATGGAGAAGGAGGACAGCAGATACTCAGACCCCTGGAACTGCCCTGGGTCTCATTCATCCAGGAGGCAGCCCTGCCCACACCTGGCGGAAAGGGCAAGGGGCTGTGGGGCAGGTGGCTCAGATACCCACCAATGGCATCTCCTTGCTCTGACACCATGGAGGCCAAGTCCTTGATAATCTGATTTACATCCAACAAGTCACTCTGTGGAAACAAGAAGGCAGGTGTTAGGTGCAGTGGTCAAGGGCACAGCCATCAGAGGGTGCTAGGTGAAAGCCAAGAGAGCCTAGGGTCCCCCCTCCCAACCAAGTCAGAGACAGGGCTGGGATCTGAATACTGTTTCCTGACTCCAAGGCCAAGCCCCAAGCTCTCTGAGAATCCCAGGGCTGTAAGCTCCCTCACTGGGTACAGAGGACCCAGGGCTGGCCCTCAGAGAGCTGCAGTCAAGTGCAGAGCAGTGTCACCAACACTGCCTGCACCTCCTACAGGCCCATCAGTCCTGTAGGCACCTCGTTCCCCACACTTGCTTTGGGGCTCCTTGATAGAAGGATACCTTTCTGTACCTCTCTGTACAGCTAGCACCTGGCATAAGGCAGCACATGGGTGCCACTGAGTAAGTCCTGAAGAAGCAGGATGGGTTGATGGATGGATAGACAGATGTATGACTGGATGGTGGATGAATAATAGATGGACAGAGGGTGGCTGCATGGATGAACAGTGGATGAGTAGATGAGGAGACGGTGGATGGGTGGGCGGGTGGATGGAGAGGCAGGTGGACGGATGGACAGTGGACGGGTGGATGAACAGATGAGTCGGTAGATGGTGGACAGGTGGATGAGTAAACGATGGGTGGATGGATGAGCGGGTGGTGGGTGGATGATGGATAGATGGTGGATGGATGGATAGGTGGGTAGACGTGGGCAGATGAATGGCTAGATGGATGGGTGGATGGATGGATGGATGGACGGACGGATGACGGAGAGACGGATGGAGACGGTAGGTGGGTGGATGACACACAGTGGATGGTGGATGGATGGCAGTCCCACTGCCATGGAAAGACTGGGTGGCTTCATGAAGCTGGTGAACAGGGCAAGGACTAGAAATTTGGCCCAGGGGGGTCTGGGGCACCTCACTCCTCCATGCTGCCCAACTGCTTAACTCCACTTGCCAGGGAGCTAGCAGTGACGCCTGTAAGGGACACGGCCACACCGTTCACAGGCCACATGCTGGGGGCACGTCACACACCATCCTGAGGCCAGGTCAAAACGCCCAACTGACAGTAGACGTTGGGCGCTCAAGAGGCTCCGTGACCTCCGGGGCCTCTCAGACGGGGGGAGGGCTGGTACTGGCACCGGGGCCCACTGGCTCCAAGGCCACCCTTTTTCTGAATGCCACCCTGCAGGGACCAGCTCTTCCACTGGCCAGCCAGGTCGCCCTGGGCAAGACCGTTCACCTCGGGGCCAGGTTTCCTCACCTATCGTGTGACCCAAACCAAAGCTTCCTCCTTCAGTGCCTGGCTTGTGGCCAGGGATGAGCCCCAGTCAGGGAAGGCTCCTCCAGGCCAGTGAGAGGGGCGGGGAGGGGGCGGGGAGAACCCTACCCCAGGCCCACCCACCCTACAGCTCATTCTGGAACTCAGATCGCTTTCCACAGGGGTCACTGCAAAATATCACGGGGAAATTCATTCTCTTTTTAGGAGTGTTCTCGGAAATGAAGCAATTAGCATGATCTCAAACCCACGTGTGCTACCGACTACAATTCAATTACAGGCTTAACCACGGTGCAGGCAGATGGCCACCCCGTGGAAGCGGCCCATGGCCGGGAGGGTGGCCGTCAGTGTGGAGCCTGTGGGCCTCAGCCCCGGGGACTGCAGCAGGTGAGTGGGTGCTGGGTAGCCCTGGGCCTGGGCCCATTTCTGGGATCTCGGTCACCACAGCCTCTCCTGAGTGAGGCCACCGGTGGTGGGGGGTGGGGGGACACCCAACCTAGGCTCCACCCTCACGTGGAGACGTCAAGGTCACAAGATAAAGGCTGCAGGCCCAGCGGGGCCTCAGTCAGACTGCCTGCCGCCCAGATTCCCCAGCTTCCGCCCCAACCCTGTCAGAGGCTGGGCACAGACCAGCCACACCCAACCCTGACCTTGCCACTGAGGCCTCTCTCACACGAGGCTGGCCCTGGATGCGCTTGGACTCAACTCTTGGGGGCCTTTCTACGCTAACTCAGTCCCCCCTTATTGTGTGTAAACACGCCTCTGGTACTCCCACTTTGCAGACAGGTCAGGCAGGGAAACCAAGTCACCCACAGGTTAAGGGACTCTCCCAAGGGCATGTGGCTGATAAATGGTGAGCAGCAAATCACCTGACCCAGGTTACCGCCCACCCAGACGGCACTGCTGGAGTGACACAGGGAGGTCGTGTGGTGCGGCCGCTTGCACGGGTGGGATTAATGGGCACGTCCGGTGTTGCTTCCCACGGGCAGGGGCCACTGAGGGCCACGGCTGGCGTGGTGCTGCCCGCGGCCCTGTCCGGCCCACAGGAACACAGCCTCAGCAAAGGACAGGGCAAAGAGGGGTGTCGTTGAGCAGGGGACACGAGCCCGGTGCCCCCCTAGGGGCCTGCCAGGGTAGAGGTGGCCACCGTACGGCCACTAGCACGCCACTGATCCCAACAGGCTGGGACAGGCCCAGACGGAGCACAGAGGCCCCATCTGGCTCACGTTCTGGGCTTCGGGGGAGACCTCCCTTACAGACGCGGCGGCCGAGGCCGTCTTCCCACCTGCAGACACACCGGTGCAGAGGCTGACGGCCGGCCTCACACACCTTCCCTGCCGGGACCCGACTCGTCCCAGGCAGGGGGTTCCTGCGGCGGGGAGCCCTCAGCACACCGCCAGAGCCATCCACAGCCCGGCAGCTCAGGCCGGGGGTGCCCATCCGGGTCCCTGCCCTCGCCCCCAACCACAGCGTAACACCTGCCGGGCCCGCACGTGGGGCCCTGATCGAGGGACAGACGGAGCCGGGTGGACTGCCACCTGGGCCTGCTGGCCGCTCCCGACTGGCCCAGTGGACCGGCAACCCGGAGCAGAGACGGCGTGGTCTGCTGGCACGAGCGGGGGTTCCCGGAGCCCTCGGTGCCCTCGGTGCCCGGGGCGGCAGCAGGATGGAGGAGGGGACCTTACGCGGGGTGACCCACGCTGGACCACGGGTCAAGGGCACCCGCAACTCAGGGCTGCGCGCCTCGGAGGTTCCCACTCACAGGCCCCTTGGCGGTCAAGGTCACCTGTCACACACACACCCTTCTTTATTCTGGGCCTCCCTCTTTTCAAAACGCCCAACGCTCAGACCCCTGACCCTCACCTGCCCCCAAGCGGATGGCTCAGCCGACTCTGCAGGACCAAGGCTGGCCCTCGTCCCAGCAGACCATCCTGAGGCCCTGCTCCACCCCCCAGACCCGTAACACACGATGCTCTCCGTCATTCAGCAACACATAAACAGAACGTCATCCGTCCTGAACGGCAGCTCAGGCTGGGCTCCCGGAAACAGTGACACTAAGAACCGCCCCCTCCCCATCCCATCCCTTTTGTGTTCTGGAAAATGCCCTAAGCAGAGAATCCCTTCCCCGTGTGACTTAGACCTGTTCGCCACATGGGACAGACTCAAGGACACCCCCTGTTCACCCAGGACCAGGCCAGACGCAGAGCTCTTGTTCCCACCCTGTGCTGAATGCTCATCATCCCCCTGGCCTGTCAGGACAAAAGGCTTGGGAACAGACTCTGAGCTCAGTGTGTCTGCTGCCCGGGCCTGGACACCCCCTAACCCAGACACCTCACCCACCCCTCCACCAGACACAAGAGGATCCCCGCTCCCCGGCCCTAGGGGCATATGCACAGCCTATGGCCCCGGAGTTCACCTGATGGGAGACATCGGCTTGTAACGATCCTCTTGAATAAAGACTCTCCTTGCTCAACAAAGCAAGTGAGCCCTGCGGGGGAAGAATGAGGGGTGTGACAGTGTCCCAAAGCCCCACGTGCTGCAGCTGGTCTCTGCCAGGTCTGAGGGCTGTAGGCACGGGAGCGGGAGGACAGGGACGCCGCGAGGGGGCCGGGCTGACTGCCGGGCCCCTGTGCAGGGCCAGCCCCGTGAGGCAAGCGGGATGCACACACCCATCACGAACAGCAGACGAGACCACAGGGCAGGGCTGCGTTCCGATGGCTTCCCTGCGGAGGCCCTGGCAGGGCAGCCGTGCTCCCCAGACAGGTGGTCCCACAGCTGTGCTTGGTTCTGTGGCTCCTGAAGGATGGCTCAGAGGCGCTGGGACATCCTGGCGGTGCGGGGTTCGTGTCTCATTCACCCCGGCACCCAGTGGCTGTTTGCATAATGGATGGGGTCATGAGGACCAGGCAGGCTCCGGGGACAGAGCCCCTGATGTGCCGGGACAGGGAGGGCCCACGAGAGGAGGCGCAGACGGGCGCCCCAGCAGCAGAAGGCAGCACACAGAAAGGGAACATCTGGGCAAAGGCAACTGACACTGACAAGTGTCCCCCCAGGCCCTGTCCCGGGCGCCCAGGACACTGGCAGGCAGGCCTCACTCAGCTCCCGGAGGAGGACGCCGAGGGCAGGGGGGCCCAACTCCCAGGCAGGCCCAGGGGCACCCCTGAGACGCAGATCCCACCAGGAGCCGGGGAGGGAGCCACGCACGGGCACAGCTCGGGGCCAGGCTGCCCACGGGCCTGAAGGTGAGCTTCCGCTGGGGGCCCGGAAGCCCCCAGAGCCACCCAAGGACGGCGCCCACCAGGGACGTCAAGCGGCAGCGGCTGTGGTGCGCGAGGGCGGCGGGCGCTGGGAGCCGCGCGCCTGGCGTGGGCACCAGAAAGCGGGAGAGTGGGTGACGGAGAGACTCGAAACACCTTAACTTAGTAAATGTTTAAATCATGCCATTATTTTCTTGATTGCTTCTAAAACTAGGGCTCATTAAAAGCTCTCATGGAATCTTTTTTCTGTTCTTTTGCTGGCACCACGTAATAACAACCTTGCACGGGACATAATAAAACCTCGATAAGCGTGCGTGCGTGCGTGTGTGTGCGTGCGCACACCTGTGCGTTCCTTCACTTTCAGGAAGGAAAAGAAAGAAAATACCACTGCACTTTTTCTATTACGCGATCTCTTCTTATAATTAGAATCTTGGCAACCATCCGCCTATGAACACGAC